GCTGCTGCCGTGGCTGTGGGTGCGGGTCGGCAGCAGCAGCTGCGGCTGCTGCTGCCAGGCGCGCATGCAAGGCCTGCTGCTGCTGCTGCTGCTGTAGCTGCTGCAGCTGCTGTAAGTAAGGCTGTTGTGGCTCCACAGTAAAAACACTCAAAAAGCTGTTTTAATTCTGCTGCAGCACTTTGCTGCTGCTGAGGCTTCCACTGCGGACACCTCAGCAGCAGCAGCAGCAGCAGCAGCAGCAGCGTCTGGTGTCCTTGCTGCAGCATATCGATTCCCCTTCGTGGGGCTTTGTTTGGCGCTCAAGGAAGCTGCAATAGATTGAATAAGAGTGGCTGCTGCAGCTGCTTTAACTGATGCTGCTACCGCTAGCAGCAGCAGCAGCAGCAGCAGCAGCAGCAACAGCAGCAAAGGGAGCCTCAACGGCAGCATTGCAGTGTACGCACACCACACACCATGGCCACCGTGGTGGTGCCTCAGTCCCAGCCTGCTGCTGGGAGCAGCCTCTTCGGCAGCAGCAGCAGCAGCAGCAGCAGCAGCAGCAACACCAACAACACCAACGGGGCCTCAGGAGCTGCTGCTGCGAGCACAGCGCCGGCGGCTTCTGCTGCAGCACCTGCTGCTGCACCTGCTGCTGCAGCGGGAGCTTCTGGTGCCCCTAGTGGCGCGAACTCCTCCTCTACTGAAGCAGCAGCAGCAGCAGCAGCAACAGCAGAAGCAGCAGCAGCAGCAGCAGGTCCCAGCAGCAGCCGCAGCAGCCGCTTAGGGCCTTGCTGGGGGGGACGTCGCTATCAACGTTTGTATGAAGGAGTTGTGCTGCCCCTTATAGCAGCTCTTGAGGAAGCTCCAAGTGCGGAGCAGCAGCAACAGCAGCTGCAGCAGCAGCAGCAACAACTTCTGCTGCAGCAGCAAGGCGATGGAGTGTTTGATGTGAGTGGGCCCTACTTGCTGCTGCTGCTGCTGCTGTTGCTGCGTGTGCTTCTGTTGTTGTTGTTGTTGCTGCTGCTGCTGTAGACACCTGATTAGTATTCGTTTGTTCTTGAGTTCTGCTGCTGCTGTTGCTGCTGCTGCTGCTGCTGCAGGGAGAGCCTCAGTTTGACTTGGGTGTATGTGCGGAGGAGCAGCAGGGAGATGCAGCAGGAGCAGCAGCAGCTCGTCTGCGTGCACTGGAAGCGGAAGCCCTTGAGGCTTTGCTGCAGCAGCAAGAAGGGTTTGCTGCTCCGCTGCAAGTAAAAGAAAGGCTGGGGCCTGCAACGAAGCAGACGCAGCAGCAGCTGCTGCTGCTGCTGCGAGAAGAGCTGCCTGGCTGGCAGGTGCTTGCTGCTGCTCTTGATGAAGTGTCTGTACTCCTCAACATGGATGCTGGGGAGTGTGCTGCTCTGGCTTACGACGCCGTTGCTGCAGCAGAAGCAGCAGCAGCAGCAGCAGCAGCAGCAACAGCAGCACCAGCAGCAACACGACAAGTCCTCTGGAGCCCGCTGCTGCCGCTGCATGCGCTGCAGCAGGAGCAGCGCTATCAGCTGCTTTGTTTGCGCGCGTTAGCTGGTTTGCTGCACCCCCCTGGAGAAGCAGGACTAGACGCAGCAGCAGCAGCAGCAGCAGATGCAGCAGCAGATGCAGCAGCAGCAGAAAGGCAGCCCAGAGTTGTTCTTGTGTTCTTCTGCGAGTTGCTGCAGAGAGGTTTAATTGATTCTCTTATAGAAAAAATGGAGGCCTTGCTGCGGTCTGTAGTTGCTGCTGCAGCAACAGAGACATCGCAGCAGCAGCAGCAGCTACTGCTGCAGCAGCAGCGACAGCAGCAACAGGCCCTTGCCGTGCAGAGCGCTGCTGCTACTGCAGACGGGGAGGGTGCTGCAGCAGCAGTTGTAGCGGCTGCTGCTGCTGCTGCTGCTACAGCAGGGATTGAAACAGAAATAGCAGCGCTTATGCTGCAGCACAACATCGAGTGTATATGGATGATAACAGATTTGCTGCTGCTGCTGCTAAGCAGCTTCCACGCCTCATCCCAGCAGCTGCAGCGGCTGCTGCTGCTGCTGCCGCACATCATATCTCCTGCTGCACTTCCTGCTGGCCGTCGTGCTGCTTCTGCGCAGGACTTCGACTCGAGAACCCAGCAGCAGCAGCAGCAGCAGCAACAGCAGCAGCAACAACAGCAGCAGCAGTTGGCAGTACCGGCGGATCAGCAGCAGCAGCGGGGACAGCAGCAGCAGCAGCAGCACAAGCCGCAGCAGCAGCGGCAGCTATCCACCCGCATTTGTGAATTAGTTTTAATTATTCTGCAGCCTAAGTTGCTGCGGTGGGTGGTGCCTTCTGTGAGCCTGCAGCAGCAGCAGCAGCAGCAGCAGCAGCAGCAGAATATGCTGCAGCGTCTAGAAGAATTTAAAGCCCCCACCCTCACAGATTATGGGTTGCTGTCTCCTGCTGAAGAGATAGCAAATCTTCAAGCAGCAGAGAAGCAGCAGCTGCAGCAGCTAGCAGCAGATGCTGGCAGGACCCGCACGCTCATACAAACGCTGCAGCAGCAGGTAAGAAACCGCAAGTTCTGCTGCTGCTGCTGTTAGTGCTGCTGCTAGTGCTGCTGCTCACTTTGATGCCGCTGCTGCTGTTGCGCATGCGGATTATGATGCTGCTGCTACTGCTGCTGTTGCTGCTACTGTAGCTCTTGCTGCTGCTATTGTTGCAGCAGCAGTAGCTGCTGCTGTTGCTGCTGCTGTAGGTGCGCATCACGCATATCGTTTGCTTGCTACTTACTTCACTCTGCTGCTGTTGCTGCTGCTGCTGCTGCTGCTGTTTAGGGACGAAGCTTGTGGCGTACAGGAGACGGCTTGGAGTGTGTAATGGATTTCGTTGTAAGCGGTGTTTTTTGCGGAGACAGCAGGCGTGCTGCTGCTGCGCTGCTGCAGCGTCCTGTGCTGCTGCAGCTGCTGCAGTGCTTCCTGCAGCCGCTTGCTGCAGCAGCAGATGATGAAGTCGCTCAGGTGTCTCTGCAGCTGCTTCACCAAATCCTTACTCTTGCCTTTGGGGGCCCCTCAGATCTGTGGTCTGTCTTGATGCAGCACCAGTTAGGCACCCGCAGCAGCAGCAGCAGCAGCAGCACAGCAGCAGCAGCAGCGGTAGCAGCAGCACGGGCTCCTGCGAGGTTCGCTGAGGCCCCTCTTCTTGTTGAGGCGCTGCAGCTTATATCTTTGCTTTGCCGCATGCATCCAGCAGCAGCTGGGGTGTATGTGGAGCCTGTTGTGCTGCTGATGGATGTGTATGGGGTGCAGCAACAGCAGCAGCAGCAACAGCAGCAGCAGCAGCGGGGCTTGCTTCAAGCTGCAGCAAACGCAGTAGGCGTGCTGCTGGATGTACACCCACCATTAGAGATTGCTATCTTCGATTGCTGCAGCACTCTCTGTTCTTGGGGGGGGTTTGTTGTTGCTCAGCGTCTCTGCAGCAGCTTGCAGACAGCAGGGCCTCTGAAGCTCAGCAGGCTGCTGCTGCTGCTGCTGCACCAGCTGGAAGCAGCAGTTCGAGGGCAGTATACAGCTCTGCCGCAGCAGCAGCAAGTGCTCTTCGACGGAAGCCACGTTGCTGCTGCAGCACGAACAGCAGCAGTAGCAGCAGGAGGGGGCCTCCTGGCTGCCACTCCAGGCGCTGCAGCAGCAGCAGCAGCAGCAGAAGCAGCAGATGCTTCTGTGCTGGAGGCGGGGCGTGCATACCCGAAGGGTCTCCTTGCTGCATTTGATGCTGCTCTGTCTGTGCTTGCAAGCTGCAGCAGCAGCTGGCTGCTGCTTCCGCTTCCTGTGTCGCCTCCTTTGCTTCCAGAGTCGCTCTCCTGGAGCAGCAGCAGCAGCAGCAGCAGCAGCATTGTGGGGCCCCCTCACCGTCCCCGACATGCACTTGATCTAGTCTATACTGTTCTTCATCTCTCTTCTTCTACTAACTTTGTGCAGCTGCATGCAGTAAAGGCTGCATGTTTACATTTGCTGCTGCAGCGCAGCCCCAGCAACCCTGCTAATGCATTTGCTGTGCTGCTGCAGCTGGGGGGCCTTATCGATTCTCTCCGCCTTGATTTTGCTGCTGCTGCTGCTGCAGCAGATGCAGGGAGACTCCTTATTACATTCTTCACCTGCGTTACGCTGCTGCTGCAGCGAGTAGGCCTAAGGAGACGGTATGATGCTTCTCTGCTGCGCTTCTGTCTCGCTCTGGAGCAGCAGCAGCAGCAGCAGCAGCAGGTGCAGCGCTTGGGAGAGCCCTCTGTGGAAGGGGGAAGTCCTGGGCTCGATGCAGCAGCAGCAGCAACAGCAGCAGCAGCAGCTGCTGCTGCAGGGACATCCCAGACAGACAGCAACGCAACTGCTGCCGCTGTTGCTGCAGCGCATGCAGCAATGCTGAAGCTCTGTGCATTCACATTTGAGGTGTATGTACAGGTATTTGCACCGTCTGCTGCTCGTCCTGGGCAGCAGCAAGGGACACAGCAGCAACAGCAGCAGCAGCAACAGCAGCAGCAACGGCAGCAGCAGCAGCAGCAGTTTGTTCAGCCAGATCTCCCCCGCTGCCGCTACTGGCGGTTAGGGTTGCTGCTGCTGCGCACTATAAGAATGTTTCTGCGGGGCCCTCTGCCTGCTGTTGCTGGCTGGTCTGCTGCTGCTTCTGCTGCTGGTGCTGCAGGAGGAGCTGCAGGAGGAGCAGCAGCAGGAGCAGCAGCAGGAGGGGATAAGAACACGGCGGCTGAGGCTCTGTCTCCTGTTGCTGCTGCTGCAGCAGACCTGGCAGCAACAGCAGCAGAACCGTTTAGCGATGCCCAGACAGTAGATTGGAGGCCTGCTGCATTCGCCTTTATTCATTTTCTTACACCAGACTCAGCAGCATTTGCTGCGCTGCTGCGGCTCACTTGTTCGGGGGCTGCTGCTGCAGCTGCTGCTGCTGCCTCTGCTGCTGCCTCGGGTGCTGGGGCAAGCAGCAGCAGCAGCAACAGCAGCAGCAGCAGCAACGGCGATGACGCCCCTGCTGCAGCACACTACAGAGAACGCTGCTGCAGCATGGGGATGAATTTGCTGCGGCTGCTGCTGCAGCGCGACCTGCTGTTTATTGAGGTGTACAAATGGCGTGTAGGTGCAGCAAGAGCAGCAGCAACAGCGAAAGCAGCCGCAGCAGCAGCAGCAGGGGCCCCCGGAACAGAAGAATTGCATGCGTTTGCTGCTTCGCTCCCGTACCTCTGCAGCAGCAGCAGCAGCAACAGCAGCAGCAGCAGCAACGGGATTGTTGAGGCCTTCGAGCTGCAGCCGCTGCATGCGCAGCTAATACTGCCGGCGGTGGCTTTGGCTGCTTCTCAAGCTCCTGCAGCAGCATCCAGAGCAGCAGCAGGAGCAGCAGGACGGGGAGAGTTGCTGCCTCCTTACTGCTGGTATATTTGTTTGCTGCTGCAGCCGCAGCAGCCACTGGCAGTGCAGAAAGCTGCGGTGTATGTGCTGCTGCAGCTGCAGCAGCGTGCCCCAGAAGACCTTGCTGCAGCATTAGCAGCAAACCCGCTGCCGCTGCAGCAGATGCGTGCTGCTGCAAGGGCAGCGCTGCTAGAAGATGCAGCAGCAGCAGACCAGTGGAGCCAGCAAGCAGCAGCAGCAGCAGCAGCAGCAGCAGCAGGAGGGGATGAAGCCCTTCTCGATCCCCTCACCTCCAGCTCTCTAAGCACTTTCTTTTTGTCGGCACCTTCACAGCAGCAGCGCAGCAAATGGCTGCAGCTTCTGAAGCAGCTGCGGGAGCAGGAGCAGCAGCAGCAGCAACAACAGCGATTGCAGCAGCAACGCCTCCTACAGCAGCAGCAGCAGCAGCAGCTTCAACTCGCGCAGCAGCACATAAACACTCCCTCTCCTAGAGGCCGCATTTCTGCTGCTGCTTCGGTTTGTGGTGGCGACCGCCGCAGAAGCCTGCAGAGCTTCCCTGGAGGGGAGACAGAAACAGCAGAAACAGCAGCAGCAGCAGCAGCAACAGCAGATGAGGAGACAGGCAGCAGCTGGGATACTGGGGGGGCACAAGCCAGGGCCTTCTTCGAGTCGGAGCAGCGCAGTTTCTTCTTTAATGAAGTGCGTGAGATTGATGATTGCTGCAGCAGCAGCGCATGCAGCTGCTCCGAATGCAGCAGCAACAGCAGCAGCAGCAGCAGCAGCAGCAGCAACAGCAGCAGCAGCAGCAGCAACAGACGGCAGCTACCTGCCACTTCTTCAGCCACCGCAGTCCCCATCTGTGCTGCGCTTGATGAGCGCTGGCAAGCAATAGAAGACACATTAATCGAAGCAGCAGATGCAGCAACGTGGACGGCTCTAGCTCGGTGCATAGCGTTGCAGCAGCAGCAGCAGCAGCAGCAGGGACAACAGCAGGGACAGCAGCAGCAGCAGGGGAGGAGCCGGAGTTCTTCTTCACTGAGCAGCGCGGAGCAGCTGTACGGACCTGCAGCAGCAGCAGAAACAGCAGCAACAACTCCTTTGCTTTCTGCTGCTGCGATTGAGATGGCGCTGCTGCTGCCGCTGCAGCCGCGAGCAGCCTGGCTGCTGCCTCCCTGGTCTCCCCCGCAGCAGATCCTTGTGGGTTGTGCTGCCTGTCTCCCTGCTGACGCTGCTGTCTCTAGATATAGCAGCGCATCGATTCGTGAGTTGCTGCTGCTGCTGCTGCTGCAGGGTGTGCAGCAAACGTGCGGAGAAGGCGCAGCACTAACTACTGTCCCCTTCCCGTTGCTGCTGCTAGGCCTAGCCTTCAGCAGCAGCAGCAGCAGCAGAGGAGGAGCAGGGGGGTTGTCACCTTTCGGGATAATGCCGCAGTGCAGCGAAGGTTTGCTGCTGCCGGCAGCAGCAGCAGCAGCAGCAGCAGCAGCAGCAGCACTGGAGCCGTTGCAGCAGCTACACTGGGGCCCTGGATCCCTCGACCCTGAGTGCAGCGTTGTTGCTGCTGTTGTTGCTGTTGCTCAGCAGCCTCAGCATATACCGCTGCTGCAGCAAGATATAGCAGATCTTCCTCCGCATACAGTTAATGCTGCTGGCCGCTTTATAGGGGAGACAGAGAGGCTGCCTATGTTAGCTGGGTTGTATACGCAGGTATGCTGCAGCGTTGCTGCGCTGCAGCTGCTGCAGCTACTTGCTGCTCATTCACAAACCTCAAAAGCAGCGCTTCATGCAGTTGGTTTTCTCTGGCCGGAGCGTTATCGCTTCTTAGAGCAGCAGCTGCTGCTGCAACAGGCAGCAGTACCGCTGCTGCTGCGGCCCCCGCTGCTGCTGCTGCTAGCTGCATGCACGCAGCTATGTCGCCTCGACGTGCAGCATGCTGCAGCGCGAGCAGCAGCAGCTACCACCAACGACACCAGCAGCAGCAGCAGCAGCAGTGGAGGCGGTGCTGCAGCAGTATGGAAGCAGCAGCAAAAGGCCCTAGAGAGACAGAGAAACCAGCAGCTAGGACGTGTTTGCTGCCTGCTCATTAGTGCTGCTAGGCAGGGACAGAGAGATATTTTATCAGGGCTGCAGCGGCTGTTGTTCTTCTTCGTTGAGGCGGTTGATGCTAATCCAGAAGACCAGCAGCTGAGTCTGCTGCTGCAGCAGCAGCAGCAACAGCAGCAGCAACAGCAACGCGCACTAGAGCCACTTTGCTGGGAGGGACTTGAAAAGCAGCAAATGCTGCCGTCAGTCAAATTAGCGAGGAGGGAAATGCGCAGGTGAAGCTGCTGCTGCTGCTATTCTTGCTGCTGCTGTTGCTGCTGCTGCTGTTCTTCCTGCTGCTGCTGTTGCTGCTGCTGCTGCTGCTGCTGGTGGCAGGGTCGTTTCTCTAGTAGCGGAGGTACCCATGTTGCTCTCTAGCGACCAGGCATATCTGCGTGCGCTGCGTCTTCTTATTGCTGCTGCTGCTGCTGTTGCTGCTTCTTCTGCTGCTTGTTGCAGGCTGTGTGGGGTGCTGCAGCGGGCGCCGAACGGTAGGGGCAGCAGCAACGTGTGGCTGCTGCTGAGCCCTGATTTGTTTTTGCTGCATGCGCAGCGGATATTAAGGGCTGGGGGGATCCTACCTCCATCGGGCTTGCTGCAGCAGCAGCAGCAGCAGCAGCAGCAGGTGTATGCAGCAGCAGCAACTCTTCTCTGGATAGAGCTGTTTAGGAAGACCTATCAGTCTTCACTTAGGGCGGCGCTGTACTCTGCACTTGGGGCCTTACCCGAGTTAGCTGCTGCTTGCTTCGAGCTGCAGCAGCAGCAGCAGCAGCAGGAAGCGTTGCCTCTGCTGCAGCAGCAGCTGCTGCCACGCGCATCAGCAGCAGCAGGCGGCCTCAGCAGCAGCAACTGCGGCATCCTCGCTCAGCGAGCAGCAGAAGCCCTCGATAGCTGCTTCAGCAGCGAAAGGTTTTGCTGCTACAGACCTCGTCAAGTGTACGGAGTGGTGCTGCTGCAGCACTTGCTGCTGCTGGCGTGGGGTGTACAGGCAGCTGAGAGCAGCAGCATGCAGTCGAGGGCCTTTCCCCTACAGCAGACGCAGCTTATTGTGCTGCTGCTTACGGATATGCTGCATTTGCTGCCTCCTGCTGCTCGGGCTCTGCTGTACAGCAGCTTGCAGCTGCTGCTGACGCTACCTGCTTCCAGCCAGCAGCAGCAGCAGCAGGACCAGGAGCAGCAGCAAGAGCAGCAGCAGCAGGGCGAGGGAACAGCAGCAGCAGCAGCAGCAGCAAGTGCTGCTGCTAGCCCCATCTGTGCTGCTTTCATTCAGGAGCTGCTGGCTGACGAGGAGCGCTACCTCACGTTGCTGCTGCTGCTGCTGTTTGATTCGAACCAGCCGCAGAGCTGCAGAGACAGCAGCAGCAGCAACACCCCGAAGTGGTGGGTGGAACAGCAGCAGCAGCGGCCGCACCTCCGCGGTGTACAGACAGCTGATGACCCCACATGCGTTGAGGTATTCGGTATTCGCTGCTGCCTTCCTCTTGCTGCGCTGCGGCTGCTGCTGCTGCTGTTGCAGTCCGTGCTGCAGCAGCAGCAGCAGCAGCAGAGCGGCGGGGGCCCCTGGCGCTCGAATTCCTTGCTGCCCCGAGAGCTGCTTCTCCAGCCTAAATTCAGCAGCAACAGCAGCAGCAGCTCAGACGAGGCAGCAGCAGCTCCTGTCGTTGCAGCAGTGGGTCATCTCTTCCTTGTACACCTTTCGGGTGTACAGGCACCTCGGCAGCAGCAAACTTGGCAGCAGCAGCAAAACAGCCTTCCACGCGCAACTTGTCAGCTGGCGTCGCTCCTCTGCTTAGTGCGTCTCATCGCTGCTGCTGCTGCTTCTGTGCTGCTGCTGCTGCTGTATTGCGGCCGCTGGTGCTCTGCTGCTGCTGCTGCTGTGTTGCTTATGCTGTGGTGCTACTGCTGCTGTGTTGCTGCTGCTGCTGCTGCTGTGTTGCTGCTGACTTGTCTTCGCTATTTCGGTGCTGCGGCTGCCTTTGCCGCTGCGCGCGTCGAGGCTTTTGCTGCTGTTGCAGTTGCTGCTGCTGCGCTTGTGTGCTGCTGCTGCTGTTGCTGCTGCTGCAGGACCATCACTTTGCGTGGGGGCTTCAATCTCAGCGTTTCTGGAAGCAGCAAACAGCCCTCGATTTGCTGCTGGGGAGTCCGCTGCTGCAGGAGCAGGCGCGGCTGCAGCCGGTGCTTCCGCTGCTGCTGCAGCAGCAGCAGCAACAGCTCTGCTGGTCTGCTGCTGCTGCTTCTTCCTTCGGAAGACTCGCAGTGCTACTGCCTCCCCTGGGTCTCCTTGCTGATATGCTGAGGATCATTGAGGTACTTCCTGCTGCTGCTGTTGCTGCTGCTGTTGCTGCTGCTGCTGTTGCTGCTGCTGCTGTTGCTGCTGCTGGCAGGTGCAGGGCTTCTGCTGATTGCTTGTGAGTTGTTGCTGCTGTTCTCTTACCAGCTGGTGATGATGCGTGTGCTGCTGCTGCTGGTGCTGCAGCGGCTGCTGACTTGCTTTGCTGAGGGGCCTTCGATGCAGCTGCTGCAGCAGCTGCTGCTGTGGGTAGAGCAACATGCAGATTTGCTGCAGGCGCCGTTGCAGGTGTGCGTACACCTGGCTTCTTTGTGGCAGCAGCAGCAACTGCTGCTGCTTAACTCCTCCGCTGCTGCTTCGGACATAGATGCAGCAGCAGGAACAGCAGCAGCAGCAGCAGCAGGAGTGCCGCAGAAGCAGCAGACTGGAGAGAGGTCTCTCGCTACTACCGGCACCGCAACAGCAGCAGCAGCAGCAGCAGCAGATGAGCAGCCTGCAGGAGCTGCATCACCTTCCCACCTAGGATATGTAGGAGACAGTCTCCGTGGGCATCTCCTTTATACAGTGCTGCTGAAGCTGCTTCGGGTGTATAGGCACCTCCTGCATGCAGTCATAGACAATGCGCATGCAAGAGCTGAGGCCCCCCCGCTGCTGCTGCCACCGCAGCAGCAGCCTCTCCTTTGCTTCCATACTACCCGTCAGATGCTGCTGAAGGCGCTGCTGCTGCTCTGTGCTGTCTCCTTTGATGCTGTGGGGCCGGACGAGCTGCTTCTGCGACGCATGCAGCAGCAGCAGCAGCAGCAGCGGGGACAGCTGACGGCTGCTGGGACAGACTTGCTGCAGCAGGGCCCTGCAACGCAGCAGCAGCAGCAGCAGCAGCGTCCCGCCGCTGCACAAACACCAGAGCCTGCAGCGTTGCTGCTGCAGCAGCTGCTGCCTCATCCATCTCTCAAGTGGGCGTTGCTGCTGACAGGCTCAAGGGTCATTGGTGAGCAAAACTGCAGCAGCAGCAGCAGCAACAGGAACAGCAGCTACGGCAGCAGCAGCAATAAGAACAGCAGCAGCAACAACAGCAGCACAAGCAGCTCCATCAGCAACAGTAGCTACAGCAGCAGCAGCAACCTTGTCTGTAGGCTAGTTAGTTTTTGTGTGTTCTTTCTGTCTTGCTGCTGATGCCGCTGCAGGCAGCAGCATCGAGGCCTTCGCCCTGAGTTGCTGCGGAGACAGCAGCAGCAGCAGCAACAACAACATGGAAGCGGTGAGTGTCTCCTCTTGTCTTGCTGCTGCATGCACTGTCTACTTTTATGCTGCCCTGGTCCCTTTCCCCGTACAATCGTCTGCTGCTGCTGCACCTGCTGCTGCTGCTGCTGCACCTGTGCCGCTGCTGCACCTGTGCTGCTGCTGCGCCTGTGCTGGTGTGCGTACAGCTTGCGGCTGCTGCTGCTGAGGCCCTGCACACAGCGACATGCGTCGCTTTGCATGCGGCTGCTACGCTGCGGCTGCTGCTAGAAGCCCCGCCAGCAGCAGCAGCTGCTGCTGTTGCTGCAGAGCCACAGGTAGGCCTTTAAGCATGCAGTGTACCTACACCCCAAAACGCGCAGCATGGAGAGAATCTTGCTGCTGCTGCTGCTGTTGCTACTGTTGCTGCTGCTGCTTCTGATTTTACTACTGCAGCGCTTCCTTGCGGAGGGGCATCCGCTGCTGCTGCTGCTGCACCTGTGCTGCTGCTGCTGCGGAGACGCACAGAAACCGTTGCTGCTACATTGCTGCTGCTGCTGCTGCTGCTGCGCATGTGTATACAGGTTCTGCCGCTTGTTGTTGCGACGCTGCAGTGCAGTCTCCACTTAGTTGGGGAGTTGCTGCTGCGGGCTTTGGGGCTGAAGCAGCAGCAGCAGCAGCAGCCGGAGCAGCAATCGGAGCAGCAGATGCTGCAGCAGCTGCTGCAGCGGGGTCAGCGCGTGGAGGCTTGGCCCCGTGCGCTGCATGCAAATGCAGCAGAGGGATTTGCTGCTGCTGCTGCTGGGTGTAGCGTCTATGGCGCTTCGGGGGTGCAGCAGCCTGCAGCAGCAACAAGCAGCAAACTGTCTTCCCTGTCTCCTCTGCTGCCGCAGCTGCTGCAGCAGCTGCCGTCGCTGAGGCTGCTGTGTCTCCTGGCTAGCCGCAGCAGCATTTGTGATTCTCCTCAGCAGCAACCGAATGATTCTGCTGCTGCTGCTGCTGCGCAGTGCAGCAGCAGCAACAGCAGCAGCAACACCTCCGGAGTGTACATACAGCAGCACGAACTCAGCAGCATCGCTTTCTTTGCGGCGCGCCTTGAGTCGATAGTTGGTGTTTAGCTGCAGCAACAGCAGCAGCTGCTGCAGCAGCAGCAGCCGTTGCTGCTGCGGATTGGGCAGCTGCTGCTGCTGCAGCAAGGAGACCGTCTTTTGTTGCTGCAGCACACTTTGGTGTGTATGCACATCTTTGTCTATACTAGCAAACTCAGCAGCTTTAAATGCTGTAAATAAGATATTATTTATTTTAATTATTAAATTAATTTAATTGTTTATTTTATTTATTTATTTATTTATTTACTGCAGTGGCGTCTCTACTATTTATTTTATCTGAAGACATCATTTATTATTATTTTATTTTTTATTTATATTTATTATTATTAGACATCCACCAGCAAAGCAGCAGCAGCTGCTGCTGTTGTTGCTACTGCTGCTGCAGTTCCTGCTGCTGCTTCTGCTGCTGCTATTGCTGCTGCTGCTGACATAGGGTCTGCCTTTAGATATTTTTGCTGTTTCGTCGCCGTTGCTGCTCTGCTGCTGCGTGCACAATCGAATGCTGCTGCTTTTCCTGCTGCTGCTGATGCTATTGCTGCTACTGTCGCTGCTGCTTTTGCTGCTGCTGCTGCTGCTGCTGCTGATTATTGAGGGGCCAAGTACTATAATAACGAACAGAAGATAATAATAGTAATAATAAAAATATAATAAAAATAACGTAATAATAATAGCATTAATAATATAAAGTATTGAATAATAAAAGAATAATATTAATAAGATTAATAATATAATAATGATAAAATAATAAAAAACAATTAATTAACAAACAAAGTTTTTATTAATGAAACTGCTGAGGCCCCACACTGCGGTGTCTGCGGAGACACCCGAAGTCATTTGTTGAGGGGCTCAGGGTTTCTTACTAGAGGTGCTGTACGTACACCCGAGGCTAATCAGCTAGCTAGCTAGCTAGCTAGCTGCTAGACACTACCTAAAGCTAGCCACCTAGCTTGTTAGCTAGCTAGCTGCAAGAAACTACCTTCAGCTAGCTGCGACGGCTAGGCATCTAGCTAGCTAGCTAGCTGCTAGTTCCTACCTGCAGCTAGCTGCAAGACACTACTTGCAGCTAGCTGCGACCGCCAAGCAGCTAGCTAGATAGCTAGCTAGATAGCTAGCTAGGTAGCTAGCTATCTAGATAGATACATAGCTGGCTAGCTAGCTATCTGCAAGGCAACACCCGCAGCTAGCTACGGCGGCCAAGCCGCTAGCTGAGAGCAATTCATCGCCGGGTAGCTGCTGCCTGCAGCAGCAGCTAGCTGCTGCTGCCGCTACCTGCTGCTGCCGCTACCTGCTGATGCCGCTAGCTTTTGTTGCAGGTAGCTGCTGCTGCAGTTAGCTGCTGCTGCAGCTAGCTGCTGCCGGTAGCTGCTGCTGCAGCTAGCTGCTGCCGGTAGCTGCTGCTGCAGCTAGCTGCTGCTGCAGCTAGCTGGTGGCGGCTCGATCCCTCAGACACCGTCAGAGACGGAGAAGAAAGCAGCTCTGTCTCCTCAGTGTCTCTTTATTGTTTGTCTCCTTGGAGCTGTATATTATATTATTTATTATATTATTTATTATATTATTATTATATTTTATTATTTGCTGCTGTTCCTACTATGAGACCCGCTGCTGCAATTCTGCGCCCGTCTCGAAGTATGATGCGGCTAAGGATTGACGGCTGCTCCCGCTTCTCTCCTGCTGCTGCTGCTGCTGCTGCTGCTGCCTTGTGCTGCTGAGGAGCAACGGGAAGGAAGGCGAGGGGTTGGGCAGTTTCAATAACAGCAAACCCAGAAGACCCTCTAGGAATAAAACGCGGTGCTGCTGCTGCACGCTTGCTGCTGCTGCTGCTGCTGCTGCTGCTGGTTGCTGCTTCGGTGGGGGGCGGCAGCAGCTGCAGCAGCACACCTGAGGTGCGAGCCGTGTGTACATACACCTCAAACTTGCGGCCTGGAAGCAAAGGGACCTCTGCATCAACGCACAGCAGCGAGACCTGCAGCAGATGGTGTGTCTGCAGCAGCAGTTTGCTGCAGCAAAGAACTGAGCCTGCTGCTTCTGCTGCTGCTGCTGCTGCATCATCCACAGAAGAACACGAAAATACCCCTTGAAGCACGAACTGCCCGCTGCTGCAGCTGCCCACAAGATTACTCTCGCTGCTCCCGTTACTGCTG